CGCTGTTGCACCAAATTCAACGATTGCCAAGGAACTGACTTCGCTGAATCCATGGTCTGATTTTGACCTGTTGTAGATCAGCGACCTTACCAGATACATCCAACTTTTTTGAACCAAACGATTCGCTATTCAATTTTCTACAACTGTGCAAAATTTGCCGCGGCTGCGCTGCGCTCTTCGGAAACCATTTTGAAAAAACCTTCGAGGGAGGGTCAAATTGATACTCACCCGAGCGGACGCTTAAGTTGATTGTAACATCAGGGACGAAAATCAAAATAGCCGACATCCAGAGAGATATCAGGGCGTGGGGGTAGGTTAGGTCAACTTTATTGGATCAACCTCCAAATCCATTTAAGAAAGTTATGCCCCCGCATGCATCCTTGATCCGAATCAACATGTGAAATATATCATAAGAGATGAGTCTGCGCACTCGCAGGCTGAGAAGCAAGAAAATTGGTGGCCGCGGTCACAGTTGCCATAAAACCGAATGGCGTTAGCAGACCAACACTGGGCGTCGGGTGTCTGACGCGTGAGAACAGCTGTCGTGAAATGATGCCTCCGAAAGTTTTTTCAGAACGAATTCATATCGTTCAAAAGTTAGAATGGGGCGTAAATGACCAGGAAATGTATGTCATGCTTCATAACACATTTTAGTCTGATATGAGGTAGCTCTTCCTCGGCATTACAAAGTAGTGACAACTCATCCTACAAAATGAGTTTCACTGAAATGCGTACGATTGTGCATTATTAGATCACAGCATTTTTTGCTGCGCACGGCGATACACTTTTCCTTTGCAGGCTGAAAGCTATACTTGAACCCAAGTCTGTGAATTCCCTGGATATCGTAAAAGACTTCGGCTAAACATTTTGAAATATGATGACTATAGGACTCCAGATGAAACTCAAATTTCATGTATGTTTACCGCGGAATGTGTAGGGCAAGTGTGGGTGTAAATATGTATAAAAAGCAATACCAACGTTATCGCTTGTGGTGGCATACATTGATCCGGGTTCAACTGTTTATGCCTGATTTCAAGGTCACAGGTGATTTTTGGGGGGAAAAGTTGGTAATGCAGCAGCTAACATGCTTTGCCTGTCTACAAACCGGTTGGCCACAACGCTCAAAATGCTCGCAAAAAAACTATCTTGCGGTGAAGACATGTCAGTCGTCTTTGACGAAGCCCATCTTTGGTAGAGCTGAGGTCAACTGAAGCTATGCCGACCACACTCGTGATGAGGCGGAATGCGTGGTGGAGGGTTCGCCTTGCAGGACAAGCGTTCATATATGGCTCGTCGAAGAGGGTAATTTGGCTGCTGACTTGACAGTGTCAGCCTGATCGCAGGGCGTCGAGAGTCGTGGAATTACATGGCACGGTAAAGGTTCCTCCGTGCTATCCCGGTAAGTGCCGAGGTAAAATGGGTCCGCTAAACCTTCATTACAATAGTGGGTTGCTGGCTCAGAGCTCAAACAATTACTTTCAGCGGAGAATCTTACTCAAAATATGAAAATTTTTCCAGCAAAATTTTGTCTTTTTCCTGTTCATTGTGAAATATACTTATAATTTTTGTGTTTCTCCTTTACCGTATAAAATTTTCTCCTGTGTATTGTATACCCATTTTATAACTAAACTTGAACCAAGGAAATAATTTCAGGCTGCGAGCATCAAGCTGCCACTCTGTGTCTTCCATGCCGACGCCACTCTGCAGTAAGAATGAAGGAGATAGCCTTTGTGTGGTGAAAATTTCTCCGTAGCATTCCAGCCCAAGACATTGGGGGAGAGGGCAAGCCAACATCAGGGAGGGGCAGCTCACCATTCGGGGGGGGGGGGGGCAGTGCCCTCACAAAAAAATTATTCGTGATGTCTCGCGAAAGAATCTCATCAACACTCGTGATGATGCCTCTTCAGTGCCCAAAGACTTCTCGCAGCGGGACTTATCGAGAATATGCCAATGAAGATGAATTATATATCAGAGATGCTGTTCAGTGTTCGTTGCAATGAAGACTATGGAGGCGTTGGAGGTATTTGATGACAGCGCGCAAGACAACTCCAGCTGCTTCTCGGCAGATGGTGCGCTAGCGCTATGCTCGACTCCAGGAACGGCGGTGTAGTGCGGTGAATGCGGGTCACAAGATCCCCTTGCCAGCAGCGACTTTGAAGACGTTTAGTCGCTGCGGACTGAGGCCAGCCCGGCCATGTGCTGTCCGCAGTGGGATGAGGGCCGTATTCTGGGTGCATCCAGCCACAATCATCAGTGTTGCAGTCTACGGCGTAATGACCGAGCGGTTAGCGTCTTGATCTCCCACGTGGAAGTCCGGGCTCGAATCGTAACAAAGTTATATTCCTCGGCAGGAAAAGTATCCAGACTTACATAAACTTACCTAAACATAAACATATATCTTCATATTTACATAAACTTACCTAAACATAAACGTATATCTTCATATTTACATAAACATAATCTCCAGAATTACATAAACTTCCAAATGTCTAAAGACATTAATTCTTTAGAATGCTCAAAGGACTCTAGGACGAGAAAAGCACTAGAAGTCACCTAAGCCTCCTAGTAAAGAGCTAGCTGACCGCATTCTATCTGCCCCATCCGAGTATGAAGTATGCCTGGCTTCCGAAATGCTATCCGCAACTCACTTTAAAAGCAGGACGATTCCCTACTTTTTCATTGGTTTAGGCGACCATCGGACGACGTCGCAGTCGTTTCTCATTGGTTAACATCGCGTCATTTCTAGACTCTACGACCATGAATCCGTTCCGACGCGCACAGTATATAAGCCGTGCCATTGGTGACCGTGTATGTAACTCTCGTCCGTGCACCGTGTACCTCTCATCTCTCCGGGGCTCGAAGACGCAAGACCGCTGTTGGTTGTGTTGGTGGACGTTGTGGTGTGGGTGTTGCTGTGTCTAAGTGGCCGGAAAACAGAAGTTGTGTTCGACAAGATCTCTCTTTGACGTTCTCGCGAGAAAGACTGGCACGAGCGAGGTCTCCACTAGCATAGCAATCCACAGCTAGTCAGAAATCTGCTACACGAATGCCAGCTTCGCGGTGATCTTTGAACGCCAATTATGACGAGAGGGACATGAGGAGTTGCATTGTGTTCCCTTTAAAATATGTCGCCGCCTGAAGTGCACCGAGCTTGCATGGCACGTACCTTATTTCTAGTATCATCTAGCTAATATGCCACGTTAAAGCTACCATAGAGCTCACACCATTTGGATGGCATACGTAACAAACTTTGAGAAGGTTTTGATTTCAACATCAATCAAAGAAACAGCTCAGGCAACTTACAGAAACAAAGTGGAGAAGTCGGCTACAGGTGGATGAGCACCGGAGGAGACAGCGGCCAAACATCGGATTCGTTTGTGACTACAACTCGAAAATACACGTAAGACAGCCAAAAATTGCTCTCTGTTCATTTACCTTCACAATATATTGCTGTATGTGTAGCGATGCGCACTTCGAAGATACCGAGCTTTTCCCCTCAGAGCTATACTCCCATGTTGTCTTTCGCCGGTCGCCTTGGCGACGACGGCAGCAGGCCTTATAAACGTGTGCTGGCAAACGTCGATCAGCCAGTTTCGTCCGACGCCAGCTTCTATTCAACCAGCAATCGTTCGTGGGGTCAGTCTTGCCGGTCGTCTCATTTCTGCTCGTATCACTGGAATCGGTTATCCTCGGTCTCGGTACATCGCGATGCCCGGTTTTCTTGCTGCTCGTCCAACACCAGCATCGACCTCCGCCTCGAAGTAACCCCGGCGTTCCGTAAGAATACCTCGTTAAAGCACCTCGAGGACTCGAGTTTAGACAAACGCAGCCAGAGTCGTAGCCGTGTGCACCAGCGTCATGCTCCAGTGGATGAAGGTGGGTTTCGGCGCGATGATTACGCTCAACTTCTTCGTGCCGGTGCTAGTCGTGGCTCGGAACAAACAGCTGCAAGACGAGCCGATGCCGTTCCTCGTGGCCAACCTGGCCCTGGTTGACCTGCTGTTTGGGTTCAACCTGTTGTTCATTGGAGTCGTGGACCTAGCGTTTGGACAGTCGGTCCCCACACTGCTCTGTCTGGCCGTCCAGTACACGGCCGGCGCCCTGGGCGTGGCGATGAAGGTGGCTCAGCTCGCTCTCGCGGTTGACCAGTTCGTCGCCGTGGTGTTCCCACTGCGGTACTACGACATCATGACTGGCAAGATCAAGCTGCTGGCCAAGCTCACGTGGACGTCCCTGCTGTTGAACGGAATGTTTGGCGCGACCGCCTCCCTCGTCGGCCTGGAGACAGTCCTGGAGTTTGATCAGCGCGTGCTCGAGGTCAGCAAGGTCGTCAACCAGTGTCGGTGGGAACGGATCTCTAGCGCCTTCATGTTCTCCCTCGAGGTGCAGCTGTTTGCATTTTCAGCCTGCACAGGCGCACTGTTCGTCTACACCGCCATTCAGGGCGTGCGCTTCCTCCAGCGCATGGAGACTCGTGGCCAGGTCGACAACATCAACTTCACCGCACGCTTCAAGCTCTTCCAGCGCATCTTCAAGGTGGTGTCGTTACTCATAGCGTTGGACATCATCGGCGGATGCTTGAGGATCGGCTCCCGTTGGTATCACGTGCCCCTCGCCACGTCCGTCCTGCATCTTGTCCGCTTGCTGATGATCATAGCGGAGGGCTGGGTGTATGGACTGGGCAACGCCACGATGTGTGCGGCATACAAGAGGCTGATTCCTTGTCGGAGTGGTCGAGTAGGAGGATACCCTGAAAATGATAACTCGCCAATGATGGTACAGGCAGTGGCTATGGCATTACATCCATTGTGATTGCGTTTTTCTGTTTTCAATGGATCAGCATTTGTTTTAATCTATGACATAAACATGACATGACATTTGTTTTTATCATGACATGACATGTTCGTTTTTATCCAACGGTCAGTCGCACCAGAAATTCAACTGATTTCAGCGAACAAAAGCCACTGTGCGTCATCCACCATGCCTCAAACCTGGTTCATGTTCTTGTTCATCTGGTTGGTTCGATCTGGTTCCCTTCGGTGCGTTCACTGCTATGGATCACGATCCGGGTGTGTGCAGACGTCGTTCGTCTCAGGCCGTGTGTAAATGTCACTGGCTTTGGGCCGTGTGCAGACGTCACTCGTCTGAGGCCTCGTGCAGACGTCATTCGTCTCAGGCCGTGTGTAAATGCACTGGCTTCGGGCCGTGTGCAGACGTCACTCGTCTGAGGCCGCGTGCAGGCGTCGTTCGTCTCAGGCCATGTGTAAATGTCACTGGCTTCGGGCCGTGTGCAGACATCGCCCATCTCGGGCCGCGTGCAGACGTCACTCGTCTGAGGCCGCGTGCAAACGTCGTTCGTCTCAGGCGTGTGTAAATGTCACTGGTTTCGGGCCGTGTGCAAACGTCGCTTAACTCGGGCCGCGTGCAGACGTCGCTCGTCTGAGGCCTCGTGCAGACGTCGTTCGTCTCACGCGTGTGTAAATGTCATTGGCTTCGGGCCGTGTGCAAACGTCGCTTAACTCGGGCCGCGTGCAAACGTTACTCGTCGCAGGCCGCGTGCAGACGTTGTTCTTTTCAGGTCGTGTGTAAATTCACTGGCTTCGGGCCTTGTGCAGACGTCGCTTAACTCGGGCCGCGTGCAGACGTCGCTCGTCTGAGGCCTCGTGCAGACGTCGTTCTTCTCAGGTCGTGTGTAAATGTCACTGGCTTCGTGCCGTGTGCAAACGTCGCTTAACTTGGGCCGCGTGCAAACGTTACTCGTCTCAGGCCGCGTGCAGACGTCACTCGTCGCAGGCCGCGTGCAGACGTCACTCGTCTCAGGCCGCGTGCAAACGTCCCTCGTCGCAGGCCGCGTGCAGACGTCACTCGTCGCAGGCCGCGTGCAAACGTCACTCGTCGCAGGCCGCGTGCAGACGTCACTCGTCGCAGGCCGCGTGCAGACGTCACTCGTCGCAGGCCACGTGCAGACGACTTCATCTATTATTGTATCGCCTGTGTCTGTGAATGGTCACCCGAATCGTCGCATGTACACCAGATGTCCACAGTGTAAGGATTTGCATGTTGAGGTTGCATGCTTTGCATGAGACATGCAAACCAAGGATATAGTTGCCAGTGAAGAGCATTGCTGCCGGTGTGTGAGAGCAGTGGAGGATTGAGGCACTCCCTTGTCATTTTCAAATAAGAGACCAAAGAATTGTAGTAGCGCGTTGCATGCCCTACTTCTGTAGGATTACTGAAAGGTTTGGGTAGGTGTTTGGATTAGAAGAGTGTGCATGGAACAGCACGAACCCCGGCACGTGATGTAACACAGCTTACGTGATGTAACACAGCTAGCTGCATAGCTCGCGTGGTGCCTAGAGACCAGCAGTTGTCGGTGGTGCGGTCAACAATCTGATGCCTTGTGCGATGTCCACCGCAGGTCTGCTGCCTCACTGGCGTCTAACAGTTCCTGATGCCCGCGAGCGCTCCCTAGTATGTGTCCAGATAATGTTACAACGCGTTCGGTTAGAAGACACGAATAAATGCTGAAAAACTATAGGCGTTCAATATTTATGACTGACGAAGGATATTAGGGTGGTCTCTGCCAGTTGAAGTAGGGTGGGATGGGGAGGAAGAGGGGGGGGGGGGGGGGGGGATCCGACCTCTCAAAACACATGGCATGACCAGAGGAAGTACTAATCTCGTTTATAAAGGAAACATGACAAGCAGCCATGCGCACTTTCTCTTAAAATGCTCACGGGTGAGACAATTTGCTCTCCAATCCGAAACAGATTTGCGAGAATATGTTCCAAAATGCAGTAACCGCGCCAAACTTTGCATAGCTCTAAGCAATTGAATAACGGATCTTTTGGTGTACGAAGCTAGATTTAGCTTGTAAGGTCGCTGACCTGTGGCAGGTCCAAAGCCGGCTGTCAGCGAATGCAAATTTTGGAAATCGTTCAATCCGATACGACAAAGGAATGCTAGTTGAAACCATGCATCTCTGAGGTAGACTCTCAGACAATTAGGGAATTCAGTTTAAATTGCAAGTTCACCGAACTTGGCTTAGATAAGCAGGTCAGACCAATGTCAAACCCGATTGTGTCTTACTGTATGGCCTGCTTCAGGGTGTACTTTCTAAAGATTATTGCAATTTTTGGTAGCAAGAATTAAGATTCCGGGGCAAAAATATCTTCCATGGTTTTGTTACGTTCAGAGTTCACGTACCTAAAATGACACGGATAAATATTTTGTTTTTAGCGTGCCGCCTTCCGCCAGTGGTACGCTAAAACAGAGGAGTATACTGTGTTATCACCAAACCGCCTAGCTCATTCCTTGACGCTTATTGAAGTTAAAAAACTAAAACAGCCTGTCATGTTTTCGGTCCAATGATCTTCTGAGACCAGACAAGGTCACTGACCCAAAATAAACAACAGTGACCATTTGCTTAGAGCAAGTCTGTAAGTTCAAGGCAATTGCATTAGGATGCCTGGACGCACTTTAAACACAAGCTCGGAGTTTGACCTCGTTTAACTTTATCTGAACCGAATTTATGACAAAGAAATTAAAAATTTTGACTCAAGACAGATTTCTTGGATTCAATTGGGCAAACTGGGTGATTTGTAGACAGTACACTTGGACCGACTGAGTGACTTGTAGACAGTACACTTGGGCCGACTGGGTGACTTGTAGACAGTGCACTTGAGCCAACTGGGTAACTTGTAGACAGTACACTTGGGCCGACTAGTTGACTTGTTGACAGTACACTCGGGCCGACTAAGTGATTTGTAGACAGTACACTTGGGCCGACTAGGTGATTTGTAGACAGTACACTCGGGCCGACTAGGTGATTTGTAGGCAGTACATTCGGGCCGACTGGGTGATTTGTAGACAGTACACTCGGGCCGACTAAGTGATTTGTAGACAGTACACTCGGGCCGACTGGGTGATTTGAAGACAGTACACTTGGGCCGACTGGGTGATTTGTAGACAGTGCATTCGGGCCGACTAAGTGATTTGTAGACAGAACACTTGGGCCGACTGGATGATTTGTAGACAGTACACTCGGGCCGACTGGGTGATTTGTAGACAGTACATTCGGGCCGACTAAGTGATTTGTAGACAGCACACGCTCCTGCACGGCGCAGCCGATTTCGCGTCGTTATCTGGTCAGATTGCCGAGATCTGACATCGATCGTGAAAAACGCATGAGAACAGTCACCGCAGCAGGCTGGCACGTGCTCAAGTGCAAATATTCGATGCTCAATGCGCGGATGCTGTGCAGCAGGACAGATGAGGGAGGTGGCATGACAGATTCAGGCATGCAGTTGATAGTGAAGGGGCTCTGACATCTTAAGGGAAATCGTCCGAGGGGTGGGTGCAGTAATGAGCGCAAGCGGCGCCGGATGCAGAAATATGGACGAAGAACACCCTTCGTTTGAGTTGCGTTATCTTGTGCATTGTGACAAACTTACCTTTCCCCATTAACATTGTCCGGCACCGAGTTGAAGTTCTGCTACGGGTGTATACAATTGTCATCAAGTGCGATATAGTGGCCTACCAGCTCCTCCACCTCAATGATCATGCTGTCTTCAAGGTAAATACCGACATGGCCAAAGAAATATTTGTGGCTGGAAAACGTCAGCACGAACAGTCACAACGACAGCCAGCATTGGGCTAGAAACCAGTGCTGAGCCGCTGATTGCATATATTGATCACGAGCCGCGCTTTGTGACAGGTACGTGACAGGCAACTGGGAAGTTCTACTAATTACGGTGGACGCGAGGCAGATATAAAACTAACGTAAATAAGTCAATACCCGCATGACGGAGGATGCCAATTCCAGGAAAAACAAGAGCAAAATAAAAAAGCGCACCATCACGGAACAATATCAAGAACATCACGAGAAAATACGAACACGCGCGCACGTATCGCGAGTAAGATGAAGTACCCCGCACCAGATACCGAGCCCCGCAAATGATTCACGGCGGTTGAGGTACCACAAGCGAATCCGCCGTTCGCTGCAGTGTCAGTTCCGACATGGCGAATCTGGCAGCGACTCTGACGTCATAACAACGTTTCATGACGTAATGAAACGTCAAGTTCATGATCATGGTCTTTAATTGACCTATTTTTCAGTTGAAGACCTTGATCTTGTGCTAACCAGAAGTGTCCTAAACCCTACGCTTTAGATCCTACGAGCATTTCATGAATAAGTACGCATGAGCTAAAGCTCCTCAAACACAGCTGGTGGCTTAATGCACAAAAGCTGGTCTCATACCACTTGATGAGAGCGGTGCAGTGCAGGGGTGTCACTAAAATCGGCTCATGGTCTGAGCCTATCAAGTTGACCTAAACCCGAAGTTGACCTCTAAAACCTGATGCCATCCTGGATTTCGATCACTTTGATTTGAGATCAAATTTGAGTTTTAAAACATTGCCGGTTCCCAAATTATCGTGATGTTGAGGAAAACCCTCCATTTGAAGCCGAAGCGGTAGTAATAATGATGATACATGATTATGATGATGATAATGATACTGATGCGTTGAGGTATCTAATGTACCAGCCGTTCACATACTTGCTGCATTTCATTGGCCCAGTATTCTCTTTTTTGCCCATATGCACTGGGGGGGGGGGGGGGGGGGGGGGTCAGAAGAGCATTGGGAAGAGGGGCTTAGCCTCATCAAAAAGTATACAGAGTGACATCACTGAACCATGTGCTACGTCTGTTTCCCAAAGCCAAAATGCACTTCGGAAAATACAGCTGTACTGAGCGCGGTAGGGGGGAGGGGGATCCAAGCCGTTGTATAACGTGTCGCTCGATTCGCGTGATGATGGTCTCATATTTGCACCTGTTTTTCCTTAAATGGTATGCTCCAAGTTTTCACAGCATATATTGCACACAAAGTTGAAGTACCTTGTTGCAAACATCACAGAACACACACGTTGGAGAAGCAAAAACAAATGGCACACGAATTACTTTCATAGTGATCGACAGGGAGTCCACTGAGTTTTCTTCTGCCGAAGAAACTATTTCAAATAGAAATTCTAAGCTTTCAGAAGGATTTCGAGAAAGCTGGTATTACCACTCGAATCGTGCGCATCATTTATGACAGATACATTCATTTGTAACTATTGCTATCGTTTCACGTGGAAATTACTGTTCTAATCTATAAAATTCCACCATTTAAAAATTTGCCCCTCAACACTTGATGCAAACGATGCTTGATGCGTGATGCCATGCTTCGGCTACATTTCTCCCGCTTCTGTTGCACGATTTAATGCTCCAACTGCAGTCATTTATTTAGATTTAGTGCTCCAACAGCAGCAACTGCTGTGTTGTATGACATAACGTCA